ATATTCAACGTGTCACAGAGCACTGATGCTAAACTATTATCTCGACAACAATTATTTTAAGCCCAAAATGAATTATTATGACTCACTAAACTGCCCGACAAGATTACTAGGTATTCTTAGATGGTTGCATGACAATATCTCTCGGCGTTAACTATAGACGTTGTCTTAACCTACTCTAAACCTTTATCCCTTTTAGTCGTTTGAAACTCACTCCTTATCTCTAAGGTAGACAAGTTAGAAATTCACCATATCGGATTCATTCATTTGCTCACATTGATCTCTCTTAATTCTCTCGAATTCAAGAATCACTTTCTAGACAAAAGGCTATCTCTCAATGCTCTTACAATTCCCAGACATGTTTTACTGAAACCCCAGGCGATCTCTCGATGCTCTTACAGTGTTAAGGCAAAATATTTAAACTATGAGCAAAACAGTCATAAGCAAACATAATTCATCATTCATAAACATAAAAATATTGTTCAGGCAAACAAAGTTAAACACCAAGTAAAACATTCATGGTGTTATCAAATATCATCCAAGATTAAACCGTTTAATACAACCCCAAATAGAATTAGAGTTTAGGAACAAATGAAGAATGACTCCCAAAGCCGGGGCTCTGTCGCGACAATCCTGATCAGCACCACGTCTGCCTTGGTGATCACACTCTCTCGAGGCCTAATCACTGCTCTGCTATTGTCTGGCTATGGAGGACACCAAGGAAGACTGGGGGGTAGACGGAGGGAAAGCACTGCAGCTTCTTGCTCACGCCTAAGGTAAAGCTCTTCTTTCTTCTTCCTTGCCTCCTTTTTGCGGCTACGGCTGGTAATTATAAGGAGAATCTCCTAGGGCTTTGCATGCTTTTGGAGTTTCCTTAATTAGCAGTTATTAATTTCCCAAACTTAAAAAGGAAAGGAGACTGTCAGAATAATCAAGGCTTGCTTGCACGTGAAGTAGGTCATCCAGCTGACATGTGACATAGGCGGTTTCGCCACATGTGCTTCAGACAAATCTTACCTCAACGAGATAAATCTTGCTTCTCACGTTCTCATCTGCTCCATTGGCCTTTGCAACTTTTCATTGTCATGACTGAAATGTTCTTCCTCTGTAGAGTTCCTGCATAAACACAACTCAAACAACCCCTTCTCCTCAGCAGCATCAGTTAAGCCAAATAAATCTTGCCTAGGCAAAACTTATCCACCACAAGCAAATATAACCTATATGCAACTAAATACAACTAAAAATGCAATGCATACTTTGTTTAGACGAGCAATAACTTAAGTGAAAAGACTATAAATTAAGTCTTTTTACGGAGTTATCAGTGGGACTTACCATTGACTCCGACAATGGCAACGATCACAACCGACTAAATCTCGACGAAAATGTGAGTAGTTTTCTTTTTTTCGATGAGTTTTTTTTTCTGTTTTTATTTTTCACTCCCTCTTTTCTCTATTTTTTCTATTCAATTTTCTCATTTTTTCTGTTTGTTCGAATGTCCTTTGAAAAATGGTTCCTTCATTTGCTTTATGATTTCCTTTTTTGGTTGCTCGAATCATTAGATCTATGAAGGTAGGGCTTTGATTTTTTTTTCTCTAATTTTAGGTTAAATCCCGAAATTTTGGGATTTAGGGTATTTTTTTTATTTGGGTCAATATTTTGACTGATTGGGTTACTATTTTGCAGGTTGCTGACGACGGCAACTGTCGGTGGTGGCTCAAGTTCCGGTCTGGAGGAACGCATGCATCACACGTGCTGGTGGGAGTTGAATGGACTGATGGCGGTGGCGTATGGAACCTTTAATTATAAAACCCTAGCGGGTTTGGATACTGAGCCTGGACCTGGGTCGGTTCGGGTCTGAACGGGTCGGATCTTGTAGTTGGGTTGACTTGGTGTTGGGTTTGTAATGTAATTGTGCTTGACTTGGTATGTAAAATAAAAAGAAAAATAAATTAATAATAATAATAATAATGATAAAATATTTTTTTTAGATCCGGACAAAAACGAGTGTCTACACCTTCATTGCCTTCTAAAATTGCAAGCGTTTGGGTTGCTTTATAGGATTGGCAGCGTGTTCAATTTGAATCAAACAAGGGACAGATTATTGCATTGAAGAATCAGATTAACAGCTTCCTTTGTGGGTTGATGTCACCTGCGGAACTTGTGCAGTTTACACACCTCAAGAGGGAACTTCATCAGTGTCGAATTACAACAGAAATTTATGGGAAGTATCGATCCAGAATAAACTGGCTAGCACATGGTGATCGGAATACAACGTATTTTCATACTCGATCTTCCAACCGACGCAGACGAAACTCAATTAAGGGGCTCTATTCCGACACTGGTTTGTGGATGGACACTTTGGATGATATTCATGTAACTGCTCTGAGGTATTTTTAATCTCTTTTTCAGACTTCATATCCTCCCCCTCCGGATAGTTTGCTCGCCACCGTCACACCTGTGGTTACAACCGAAATGGACGATCGCCTCCTTACCGAGTTCACAAAAGAAGAGGTTTATGCTGCTTTTTGTCAGATTCAACCCCACAAAGCACCAGGCATTGATGACGAGGTTCTTAATTTTTGTTTGGACCTCCTTAATGGCCATGTATCGATGGATGATATAAATCGCATGGTGCAATTCCTTAAGGGTTGAACGAGAATCAATGTCTCAATTATTTCCAAAGTTATTGTTAACCGTATTCGGCTTTTTTTTTACTGGTTTGCATTGACGATAACCAAGGTGCATTTGCCCTGGTTGACAAATCTCAAACAACGTCCTCATTGCACGTGAAACTATTCATTTTCTAAAGAATGGTCAAACAGGTTCTTCTCGTGGTGCGGCGTTAAAATTTGACATAGAAAAGGCCTATGATCGTGTTGAGTGGCCCTTTCTTCGAGCCATGTTACCTCGACTTGGGTTTGCTAAACAGTGGATTTCATTGGTGATTTCTTGTGTCACTTCTATTTCATACCAAGTCCGCATCAATGATTGCTTATCAGACATTTTTCGGCCAACACGTGGACTTCGACAAGGTGACCCATTATCGTCATTCTTATTTGTTTAATGTGCTCAAGGGTTTATTTTCACTTCTACATTGGGAGCAATGTCATAACCGAATTGAAGGATTGTGTGTGTCATTCGGGGCCTCTGATTACCCATCTCTTTTACGCTGATGACTGCATTCTTTTCCTTCGCAATACGGAGGTTGAATTTACGAGATTTCGCGACGCCCTAGCACTATATGAGAGCTATTCTGGACAAAAAGTTAATTTTGCAAAGTCCAGTGTCTATTTTTCTCCTTCGACACCGGAGTGGTTACAGACTAATTTAAGAGCCATTATGGGCGTGGCTCCCGTGTCGGATCAAGGTATGTATCTGGGAATGCCTCTTCTCATCGGTTGAAATAAAACTCAATCATTTGGATTTCTACGAGATAAAGTCTTCACGAGTTCGAGGCTCGACAAGGAATTTGATTTCATAAGCTGAACGTGTAATTTACATTAAATCTGTGAGACAAGCATTGCCAACTTATGTAATGGCACTATAGCAAAATAGAGTTTTAGCGGCGTTTTTTAATTCTATAGCGGCGTTTTTAAGCGCCGCTAAAAGCACTCGCGGCAATGGCGCCGCAAAAGGTCGAGATCTGTAGCGGCATTTTTGGAACAAACGCCGCAAGAAGTCAAGATCTATAGCGGTGTTTTTGCAACAAATGCCACAAAATGTCATATCTATAGCGGCGTTTTTGAATACAAACGCCGCAAAAGGTCAGATCTATAGTGGCATTTTGTATACAAATGCCACAAAAAGTCAGATCTATAGCGGTGTTTTTGTATACAAACGCTGCAAAAGGTCAGATCTATAACGGCGTTTTTGGACACAAACACCGCAAAAGGCCATATCTATAGCGGCGTTTTTTATACAAACGCCGCTAATTTCAATTCTTTAGCTAAGATTAATTGATATTTTGCATATTTCATTTTTTTCTCTACATCACCTGGATTTAATATCATGTAAAAATAACAACCATAAATTTTAGTAACAAAATAAATTAAAATTTATAAACATTAAAATGTAATGTAATGTAGTTTGACATTGTTCTCTAAAACAATAACATCACTTGTAAAACCTTTAGATACTTCATAAACATTCTACATTTTCTTTACAAACTTGAGAGAAACAATTTTATTGAAGCTGCTATTTACAGACTTATACTCCTCCAATACGGGGTTGGAATAAGATCTCTCCAGTTTGAAAGCGTTCCTTTGACAGAGTAAACCGGCCCACAGCTGGAACCTCCAGTGATGCTCGAGTATCAAGAAAGCAAAGGTAAATGATCTTGCATGAACATCAGCGTGAAGGTCTGGAGGCTCCAAAGGTCAACGAGGCATTGATTCAAAAAGGGAGCAAAAACACCAAAGTAAATTTATCAATTTTAAACACCTTTGACACTACTCAAACCATATAAAGGAAATAGCATTAACCCCAAGTTGTAGAGGATTACAACATACCTCTTTCAGTGTTCGCACAGTGTACAACGATTCAATGGCTATTACCCACAAAAATTACAGCATCAGTAAAAGGGTACTCCCACAGATTCTCCTAAAAAATCAAAGAACCGGAAAGATTTCGGAAAGAGATTACTTTCAGAGTATCGTTCCTGACCATTCCCCAAAACTCGGTGTAAAGTGGACCTAGGCACATCCAAAAACCAAGTAATTAGTCATGAAGGAGAAGAAGTTAATATAAACAATAAGGTTTTAAAGCAATATGTATCCCGAAAAATGAAATTGGAAATAAACTCCTCAAGAAGTATATTATTAGTAAATACAATTAAAAAACTAGTACAAGTAAGAGAAAATAGCAGAGAAAGACGGGGAAGAAGTTAAAACCCATTATCTTATGAACCTCAGTTTCAACCTAAGAACAAGAATAGTTAAGCAGCAAGTGAGGTACTATTAATTACAAAAGACATAAATCAATCCTTACCGGAATGAAAAAAAATATAGATGGAGACAGATCATGCAATTAGATATGAAAAAAAATAAAGGGTGGATTAGAGAGTTCATAGGGAAAACCCTATTAGGTTCAATCCTTTCAAGATTGCTTCATGTGCCTTTTGATCCTATTCATGATCAATAAAATAAACAAATGAATCAGGGAACATATATTTCCAGTTATAACTTTTTACAAAGAATTTTAGGCGATAAAAAGAACTCAAAAAGTGAACTACTTACTCTTTAGTAGTAAAGGAATGTGCCAAATATTTGGAACGTCATAGAGAGTGACAATATTTTCAGCCTGGAAAGAAGTCATATTTCTTAATAACAGTAGTTACTGATTTAGGATATGGAAGAAAAGCAGACAAATAGAATTCATGTTTCATTACCGGAACATGGCAAAACTGAGAGAGCTTTAACTTGACATTATCATCAAGTGCCTATTGCAAAAAAGAGGCAAGTGAATGAATAAGAAATGTCAAATTAGCACTGGTAAATACAGTTGAAAAAGATAAATAAGGGTAGAACCATTGTACTGCAACAAGCAAGAATATTTGGTCTCAAGCCAAGTCCTCTAAGTCCCCGAACACTGTGTTAACAAGCATGTTCCCTCATTGCTTGATTCTTCTGAATTCCTTAAAACAAAGAATTATACCATGACATCAAACCTATAAGGACTGTACATATACAGAAAACAAATAGATAACAAAGAAAATATATTATATCTGAGTTTGAGCTCCGCAGCTCCTAGAAAAGTATCAAATTATTAGAGTAAAGCTTTCAAAGAAAAACATGGACCATAAAACTTTCGAGAGTTTGGTTATATTTTCTTCTATCATTGCCAATGAAAGCTTGACCTCAGTACTGTATAATACAAACAAAAAGAAAAAAATAAAAAGAATAATATATTCAAGGACTTACCTGCATTTGTTAATAGCATGTTTATTGGCCAGGAGTTTAAAGCTTGAATTGATCATCTTACTAGAACACTTCACCATGAAGTTGTTTTGCTATAAAAAAAATTCTCTTTTAAGTATTTGCACCAAAAGCTACTCATTGCTTATACTGAATTTCTTCTCCAATTGAAGTAATTGGAAGGCTAGTAACAATCAAGGACCATGAACTCTTAAATTAGTAATTTGAAATAAAAAATTTATAAATAGAATGGGAGATTTATATTCTAGTCCAAATGAAGGTACATATACCTTAGTAAGGACTGTCAAAACCAACTAGAAAAAAATTATATAAGTATGCCAGAGCTTGTCCCTGCAGAAGAAAAGTAGTTTCATGGTTTCAAAACTTTATAAAACTCCAAACTCAGAGATTTATGATGTACCACTCCAGTCACAATTGAATGATGAATAAGCAAGAGAGAGTTCAATATGAATACATTTTATAGAATGATCTTAAGGAACAGTTCCATATTAATTAGTTCTACATGAGATTAAGACTCTTTATTTAGAAGGATCTCTTGACAATTATGCGTCCAAACTTGAACCTAAATTGTAGGCACTTTACCTGTGATAAATCTAATTTTGAATAGAATTTTAGGAACTGAGCCTGCAAATGCACTACTTGTACAGAATTAAAGAAATTTAAATATCAATCGCTTTAATGTTAAATTTGTGGACCTTGGATTTCAATGTAATTATTACTTCAATAAACCCTAATTCTATAGACATCATAAAATTTTCAACGATAATTTTATTCACTCGGCTAAAATGTAAGAAAGCATCTCAATTTCACAGTTCACAGTACCATCACCCAGTAATAGATAAGTGATTTCTTAACTTTCCAATCATAGGCAAACGACAACAAATTTAGCCAAAATTAGTTACGGTAAGCATAATCCTGAGTAACCAAGTGTAGTAAACAGAGGCAGCGGATTAAACCTGAGTAAACTCATGTAGTATGTCTCTATGTCTTGCAAGTTTCTGGGTCACCGAAGTAGTCGGTGCAGAAGATGCAGCACATCTACTCATACCATCAATCCAACAGTTTCTCAAGCAATGATTGAATTTCAATTTCCATAGAATTCTATGATCTGCTTGACCCGGCCTGTGCGACCCAGTATCTACATAATCTAAATGTAAGTAAATATTATCACAAAGAAGAAGGAAAAACGAAAGAGCAACAGATTCCTAAGGCTTTGGATTCCTAAAACATGAAAAAATAAATTCCCATTAAAAAATCTTATTTATTCAACTTTTAGAATATGTTCAGTTCTTCAACAAATTTGTTCCTAATTTCAATAATCTACCAGGAAAAAAAAAGCAACACACATTCCAGAAAATAACAATAAAAATGAGGAAAACGAGCAAACCTCCTGGGTTGAACCTAGCAACGAGCTTAGCATAAGAAGATAGTTTGACATCGAGATCGCCTTCGATCTTTCGAGCTTCTTTCCTCAATTCCTCCCAACCCGATTCTAGTTGATTCAGGTTCAGATCCATCATTTGGATCTCGGTAGTTCAACTTTGGATTCCTTGCTCTTCAATTCCAGCGATGAGTTCTTGTAAAACTGTGGATAAGAGAATTTAAATCAGAGATAGCATAGAAATGGTAGTGAAATAGATGGGTTTGGGGTTTGGTAGTGAAGAAGATGGGTTTGGGTAAACGACGGGATTGAAAAATGAATGAAAGGGAAAAAATGAAAAAAAGTTTAAAAGGGGCGACACTTAAAATTTGTAAACTTGAGGCGTTTGTAAACACAAGTGTATAGCGGCATTTGAATAAAAACGTCACTAAAGTACGAGTCTTTAGCGGCGTTTGTATAAAAACGTCACTAAAGTACGAGTCTTTAGCGGCCTTTGTATAAAAATGACACTAAATTACAAGCTTTTAGCGGCCTTTGTAAACACAAACGCCATTATAGTACAAGTGTATAACGGCGTTTGTATAAAAATGCCACTAAAGTACAATTCTATAGCGGCGTTTGTATAAAAACGCCACTAAAGTACGAGTCTAGCGGTGTTTGTATAAAAACACCACTAAAGTCCTACTCTTTTGTGGCGTTTGTTGAAAAAATGCCACTATCGATGAACCTATTGCGGCGTTTTTATAAAAACGTTGCTAAAGTTACCATTTTGTGGCGTTTGTTATGTAAATACCGCTATATGTTTAAAATTAATGGCGTTTACTCCCAAAACACCGCTAAAAATGCCATTGTATAACAATTTTGTTGTAGTGTGGGTTGTTATTTAATACCGGGGGTGTTTTATTGGACATCATAACTTTACTTCGTGCTTATTGGTGGACGGGTGAATCCTCATCTCGGGGATGGCCTCTTGTTGCATGGCAAACGCTTTGTCGACCGAAAAGATTGTGGGGTCGTGGATTTCATGATCTTCGACTTTTTAATATGACGATGCTTGGCAAGCAATTGTGGTGGATTTTACAATATCCTCAAAGTCTTATGGCATGACTATTTAAGGTGAAATATTTTCCTTCATGTCACATATTTCAGGCGTCGTTGGGTGATCGCCCCTTATATGCGTGGAGGAGCTTATTTGATGCTTTGCAAGAACTTTGACATGGGTTCCACTAGCGTATTGAGATAAACAGTCAGGTTTCGATGCATGCGGCGAATTGAGGTGGTGTTGATCTGATTCATCTTGCGACTAACTACACGGATGGGATACTACATCTTGTTTTATGTGGGGATTTTATGATTCTGGATGTCCCTCGTTGGGATGTTTCTCGTCTTCGACATGTTTTTACAACAAACGATGCAGACGTGATCTTATAACATGTTATCTCCCAAGTTCAGCCCGATGTGTTTATTTGGAGCGGTCATTCCTCCGACACTTATTATGTCCGCTCGGGTTATACCCGGTTCGTTCGAAGGAAGACACCAGCTATTAATGAATCCAGGCTTTGGTTATTCTTATCACATTTACATACACTACCTCAAGTACGTATGTTTGGTTGTTCTGTCCGCATTGCCCACGTCGGTGCTCTTGATGATAGATGTTGTTTGTGTGGATCTCCGGCAGAAACAATCACTCATGCGTTGAGGGATTGCTCTTGGGTTTCTACAATCCTTATACAGGATGGGTTCATGCGTGCATCGATTATTGGGAACTTCTCATCTTTTGTTGCTTGGTTAGAGAATATGATGCTTAATTTAACTGTTGATCGCTTCATTCAACTTTTGATCTTACATTGGAAGTTGTGGCATCGTCGGAATTTATATCTCCATGAAGGTCAGCTTATACCAGGGTGGTATTTGATCGCTTCAGCTATTGCATTACAATCAACTTTCTCATTGGCAATGGCTGCTTCATCTTCATCGTCATTCGGGCTGCAATAATGTCTGTCTATTCAATGATGGCAGAAACCTTCAGCTGGTCCATTCAAAATAAAGGCTCGGTGGAAATTAAATTATAGACGGAGAGAGGCATTAAGTTGATAGAGGCACCTAGATCGCACATAGCTTGCTTGATTTTAACCTCACCAATTTTACAAGGTATTGAAAACATACCATGGTCTTTATATTTCGGTGAAAGCGGTCTTTGGAAAACTGCTGAGACGTTTGCACCTAAATCCACTTTCTCGACTCCGGTAAGCTTCCTTTTAGTCATACAGAGATTCTTCAAAAACCGACAATACCTTGGAACTTTCCGGATAACCTCAATAAGAGATATATTAAATTCAACCTTCCGAAGAACGTCTAATATTTCCTTTTCCTCAGTTTTTCTATCCTTTTTAACTAACCTCGATGGAAATAGCGGTGGTACGTCATAGGGAGATGGCGTCAGATCGTCTATTTGTTCTTTATCATTCTCTTTCTGGGATCCTGCGTCAGCTGTTTCTTCTTCCCTTTTGGATTTTGAAGTTTCTTCTTTCTTCTGGGATCTTGCGCTTACTTCCTTTGGGTCTGGTGTTTCAACAATTGTACCGCTTCGGAGGGTGATGGCGCTAACATTCTCTAATGGATTCGGTTCATCTTGTAATGGTAGCCTCTTTTGTGACTCTAATCTCCCTACGGCTTGAGTCAGTTGGCTTATTTGTTTGTCCATCTCTTGGAAGTGGGCTCCAGATCGAGTCTGGAATTTTTCTTGGGATAGTGCTAACCTCTCGACAATCGATTCTAATGATGACTTCTGCGATTGTTGTGGTGGTGGAGGTCTCGCTTGATAGCCTTGATTCGGTCTTGGGTTCTGAGCATAACTGAAGTTCTGATGATCCCTCCATCCTGGGTTGTATGTATTACCGTAAGGATTATAAGCTCTTTGGGGAGGTCCTGGAAAGTTTCAGACTGCGTTGACTTAAGCTGCTGTGTCGTTTTGAATCAGCGGACAATCGTCTGTTGGATGATCAGGTGATGAACATATTCCACATAATCGGTTTGGTCCTATCTTTCTTGCAACAAGAGAGTTTACGACTTCAGTTAGCTTATCTATTTTATTTTCTATGGAAGATGAACTTATCTTATGAACCCTTCGATAAGGTTCATTGTTTGTGCGAAATTATTGGGAATTTGCGGCCATCGTCGATATTAAGTCTCTAGCCTCAGTAGGAGTCATATTCA